TATTGTCACCGCCTCTGGGGAGCTCAGGGAATACACATGCCTAGGATCCCCCCATCGCCACCACCCCAGGAACCCCGACTCAGAGAGCTGCGCTCACTCGCACACAAGTGTCTCATTCACGTGGCACTCCCGGCTCCTGGCACGAATTCCGAAGCTTAAAATAGGCACACAGGGAGCCTTTGTTGGGGAGAGGAAGGAAGGAAGGAAGAAGGAAGGTTTCAAAGGAGACAGCGAGCTGTGCTGCCCAAGGAAGGGTGAGGGGCGGGACATGCGGGTGGGGCAGATCTCTGAAGTCAGAGTGGTGAAGGTCACTGGGGAAGGTAAAGAGGGGCTGGCCCCCTCCCCTCGAGATGCCACTAGGAAGGCCACGTGAGGAATTCTGATTTTGTTGAGCAGGTGATCAGGGGTGAAGGTAGCAGGGAAATGATGTGGATTTGCACTTTAAAGAGCAGACTGTGGTCCTGTGGGGTTAACCTCTGGGGTGGGAGAGCCTGGAGGTTAATCCACCCACCTTAGAGAGAGAGAGAGATGGAGAATTTCAACGGGGAAGAAGTACAGATATGGGGTGTGAGGGGGGATGGAGAGACAAAAAACCCAGAGAGGTGATGACTAACAAACTCCTAAGCTATAGGTCCAAATGCCTAGGATAAAGCCATTTAAATAGCAGCATGGGGCCTCCCCGGTGGCGCAGCGGTTGAGCGCTGGGTTGCGAAGCTGCGCGCGGCCTCTGCGGCGCCGGTTCGATCCCCAGCTGCTCCCCGGCCACCAGAGGAGGGTCCCACATGGTGCGCAGACCTCTCCTGCCGCCCGCTGCTCCCCTCAGCAGTGTACTTCGGTCCTTCTGCCTGCTCTGCTCCCCGCTCTGGCTCTGGTGAATTCTCTCGCCCTCCCGCGCTTCTGACTGTACCCAGTGCATGTATAAACAAAACAAACAAACAAACCAGCAAACAAATAAATAATAAAGCATGCCTCTATAAAAAAAAAAAAAAAAAAAAAAAATAAATAGCAGCATGATTCACAATGGTCAAAAGGTGGCAACAACCCCAGTGGCCATTGACGGGTGAAAAGAAGCACAAAATGTGATCCAGAGTGGAATATTATGTGCCCGTGAAAAGGGGGGTAGCTCTGAAACATGCTAAACATGGGTTGACCTTGGAATCACGATGATCAAAGCCACAAGGCCACACAGTATGTGTACATCACTCACACAAGGCCGCACGGAATGCGAGTCCACTGATGAGAGATGTCCAGGACAGGCACAGCCACAGAGACAGGAAGTTGGTTTGTAGTGCCAGGGCAGGGGAGGTGAAGGGAGATCTTACAGGTGATAGGTGGCTCTAAGATGGGCTTATGGAAACTGCTGCATAACCTGATAAATGTATTTAAAAAGTACCAAAAAAAATAAAAACTCAACTGTTTCAAAACTCAACTGTTTCAATTACTGATATGGAAATTGTATCTCAATTAAAGAAATTAAAAGAAGTAAGACTTTCCCCTTTGCCAGCCTCCCGAGAACTAGTAGCCATTTCTGGAAGAGTCTCAGAGTAGCCCAGCGGCTTGGCAGGACAAGACACTCATCCATACTGGCAGCCGTGCCGAGGGGCAGATGGGAAAGATGAACATGACCCCCAGGGACAAGTCCCATCTTTCAGCAGGTCTCCCAGGAGACACATGCAACGCATTTTCTCTAGACCGTAAAGAGAAAAGAGGCTGCGCAAAAGGACAGCACAGGAGAGAACCAGTAAAAAGTGGGGTCAAGGGCGGAGGTTCCCTGCCATCGCCAAGGTCATCCCACAGGACACCTGGGCACAGACTCCAGCGGGCAATCACCTAATCACTCACTGGCCACCTCTGACAGTTAAGACGCAGGCTGTGGGTACAATGGAAGGAGAGAACAAATCTGTGTCACACAGTCATCAGGCCACTGTCCCAGGACCCATCCTCTTAGAAAGCTCTGGAATGTTCTAAAGTCACAGCGGCCAGACACACCCTTTTGTAAGAAACTACTGAGGCGCTTCTAGAATACTGTGGCCTAGTAAGCAGTTTTAAAAACTATTATTTGTTTCCAGATGCAAATGAGAAAACCTGTCATCACACCTTGGGTGGAAAAAGGAGCCTTCTGTGACAACACAGCGTAGGGAAAACAAAACAAAACAAAGCCTCCATTCAGCCACGGCAAGTCACAATGCCTGCATGTCAGGACAGTTCACAATCCGCTGTCCTTCCCGCAAACAGGAGGAAACAATGGCATCGGTCAAGGGAATGTTTCTAAATAAAGCTTTCATAGGTGACTAAGAAATACCTGTAGACCCCAAGCTTTTGAAGAAGCTCACGCTCTCAGTTCAAACCAAGGAGCTCATGGAAAACTCTCGTCCTCCAAGACCCGCAGCCTACCGAGGCACCCCACGATCCAAATCTGTGCAAGTGTCCCAAACCCACAGAGCCCACCCAGAAAGAAACCAGTATTTCTAAAATTTACTAACAGTGAGTTGATTTTTTATTTAAAATTTTTTCCTCTCAAAATGAAGGCACCAGACGATTTAAAAACAAACCTGAAATCTGCACGGACAAACTTTCCCACAGATGCCAGGTAAGACGTGGTCTTTACAGGAGAAAATAACTTAGCTTTGTCTATAAAAGGGGGTTATAAAATAACTTAGCTTTGTCTATGACCTTGGTGATACTGACCCTCAGGGGGCCCTTGGCCATATCTGGGGACCTCTGTGGTCATCACAACTGGGGATGCTCCTGGCATTGAGTGGGAGGGGCCAGAGGTGCCCCTCAGCACCCCCACAGTGCCCAAAACAGACCTCCACAGAGGACAGCCGCCCCAAGGCAGCAGTGCTGAGGGAGAGCTCTGGTTCCACCACAGGAACGCAAGTTGTAAACTCATATATTTAAAGAGCATGACAATTGTAGCCAATGGTTCCCTTTGGGGGCATAACCGAATGGCTCCCGCGCAATTGACCTCAATCAGAAAGACCCAGCAGCCTTCCCTTGAGAGGATGTCCTTACTCCTTCACAAACCTTCAGAATCTCTAGCCATCAACTTCAAGCAGCAAACTCATCTCCTTGTGCCTTTTCCTCACTTTTTTTTAAAAGATTTATTTATTTATACAAGAACTGGGGTACAGGCCAGAGGTGCGGGAGGGTGAGAGAATTCACCAGAGACAGAGTGGGGAGCAGAACAGGCAGACAACTGAAAACACTGCTGAGGGGAGCAGCGGGCAGACGGGAGGTCTGCTGCGCCATGTGGGTATCTCCTTGGCTGGCCAGGAATCGAACCCGCACTGCAGAGGCTGCACACAGTTTCACAGCACTGTGCTCAACCTGCTGCGCCACCGAGGAGGCCCTCCTCACTTTTTGTAATATGGATTATTTTTTTTGGCAGGCAGATTCTTTCTTAAGGCTTCTGGGACAATTCCTATGTGCACCTCCAAGGCTGAAGAACTGGAGTCAAGCTCCAACCGATTCCTTCCCTCTCCTCCCTGACAACCCAGCAATTCCACCCACCCAATTCCCCACCTCCCAAAAAAAAACCCTTAATTTAGAACATTATCATCAACACTTCACATATGCGTGCCATGTGCAGGAGGGAGAGAGAAGCATACAGCCCCTCATCTCACCCTGTGGCCATGCTGGGAGCCGCCCCCCACTGTGTCAACCATTCCCATTTTACAGAGGAGGAAGCTAAATCTCTAAGAGGTCCTTGGGCCACACAAGCAGCTGGAACAAACTGGAACAGATCTGTGTCCAGAACCCGCCACACCCTATCTCTGGCGGACCCCAGCACCTGAGAGAAGGAGTTTGTAAACCTGACCCCGACATCACTCAGAGACGCCCCCTCCCCAGCTAGGGAGCCACTGCTGCTCAACATCTATCTCGTCCCCCTTCCCTCCAACCCCTAGCAACCCCAGCTCCCAGGAAAAATAAAGTGCCACCCACGCCCCTCAATATCATCATCCCCAAAACTCCTACTTCAGTTCCTTACTCCTGGGCCCAAAAATTCCTGAAAAATTCATCCAGCAACACGTGCCCTTCTGCTTCCCAAGACACCTGCCTTCAAGTCCTGTGTCCCCAAAACAAACTTCTTGACCCTTGGTGAACTCCCATGTCCTCCAGCTCATGGTGCCAAGGGTCTCTTCTCCACAACCCCTCTACACCAAATGATCAGCCCCGGAAAAGTAGGGGACCAACCCCCTCCCAACTGACTTGGAGACACCCTCCCCATTCCCTCTAGCTAAGTGAACCTCCTGTAAAGCCCTTGGGGGCGGGGGTCTCCCACCGTCAATCCCGCCATCACTTGGGCCCCACCTTCTTTCCCATCACCTCACCCTAACTTCCTCCTCCCCAAGCCCCCAAGCACTAACTCTTCCTTTCTCCCCACATGCCTGGAGCCCCTTCAGAAAGGGAACTCCCACGCCATGCCTCAACTTTGTCCTCTCTCAACCCGCTCCCCCGCACCCCCGAGGCCCCCCTCAACCACCTACCAGCCTGGCTGTTCCTCAGCCTCCTCCCCCGCTGACTCTGATCCCCTCCCCAACTAACCCTGCCCGGAACCCCAACCCCGGCTCACCCCTACCTCACCCCTACCGTTAACTCCACTCCCAGCCCCTCCTCGAAGACCTTCACCCTCAGCTCCAGCTCCGCCCCTCCCCGCCGGTCTCCACCCGGCTCCAGTCCGATCCCAACTCCAAGACCAGGCCCCCAGCTCCGGCGCGAACCCCCGGCCGGGCCCCCCTCAGCTCGACCCCCGACCCCAGGCGCCCCTCCAGACGCCCCCACTCCTGCCTCCAGCCCCTCAACTCCAGCCTCCTCCCCGCGAGCCCGACCCCCACCGCCGGCGGATCCCGGCGCCAGCCCCTCCCCAGAGAGCTCGACCCCAACTCGGGCCGCAGCTAAGTCGGCCCTCCCGCCCCGCCACGGCCGCCCGGCCCCCCGGGCCCCGCGCGCCCGAGGAGGGGCGGCGACCCCGGCGACAGCCCCGCGCGCGCCCTTACCAGCGCTCCGGCCGCCGCGGCCGCCTCAGCCCCGCCGCGCAGCCCAACCCGCCGCCGCGCGCGCGAGCGCTCGCTCCCTCCAGGGGGCGGGGCCGGCGCCCGGGGGCGGGCACTGGAGGCCTCGCGCGCCCAATCGCAGGCCCGCGTGGCCGGAGGCCCGGGCCGGGGCGTGGGGCGGGGCAGGCAGCGGGGTAGGCTGCGCGCAGGGGAGCGGGCGGGGCCGCGGGCGGGGCCGGGAGGCGGAGCTCTGAGTGGCAGCACCGCTGGCCACCCGCGAGCCGAGAACGCGCTGGGGGCGGGGTCAGGGCAGTACGCAAATAAGCTCGCGGTCGGGCCCCGGCCGCCCGCGGAGAAGCCGGTGTTTTGACTGCGGGACATCGAGGACGTGCTGGGTGTTTTATGGATTCTGCATCCCTGGCGTGGGCGCGGGTTCGAATTCCGAATCCGAGCTTCAGGGGCTCGTTTTGGGGAAGAAGAATGTCCCCTCCGAATCGATCGCTTGACCTGCAGGACACCAGTAACTGACCCCTCTCACCGAACCCTCTGCGTGAGGTTGGAAGGAGAAATACTATTAGTCCCATTTTACAGAGGTGGAAACTGAATCTCAGAGAGAGGTTAAACAGAGGCTATTTGCCCACGACTGTCTTATGCTTTGCAGGGTCTCTCAATTTCCTAACGTCTAGGCATGAATCTTAAGATGTAGATTCTTAGGTCTTCATCCACAATCCTGCTGCATCTGGACCCTCTGGAATGGGAATTTTCAACAACCCCCCCTAGTGATGCTGAGAAACGTTTGCATTTGTCTCCAAAAGCATTTGTCTCCAAAAGCATCCAGCCGACACAGAGGTATTTCTTAAATAGGAAGGTAGAGTTAATATTCTGAACTTGAGGATCTTTGTGCTGTACTGATATTCTGTAATCTGAGTCACTGGCCTCCCAGCTGCGGGGGCCCCCCACCCCCACCCCCACCCCACCCCAGGGTTCCTGTCATGCTGGAAGGAGTCTCCCTGTTCAGCCCCAGCAGTGCACAGAGACAACCAGGCTCAGGGGGATGACAATTCACTCCCCTGTCTACATCTCCCCACAGGAATTACTGTCTGGACAAGAGTGGCAAATGGTGGCTCCCAAGTTAGATGTGGCACCCAGATTCTTAAAAACTTCTAAACTCACTACCAGCATCTGAAATAAGGATGGTCCACAAAAAGAAATCCAGATTTCCAATTGCCCTTAAAAAGGTCAGTGTTTCTTGTAGCAGTTGGGTGGGCGGCTACACAAGCTTCACTCAAGAGCATCAAGTGGTCCAGAGGCAGAGAGTCAGGGTGGGCTCAGGGTCAGGCAAGTGAGGCTCTTCTCTCCAATCAAAATAAGAAAACTTGCTTCAAGATAAATATTACGTTAAAAAAAATTCCTGCTTCCTTTTAAAAAAAAAAAAAAGATAAGTATTACGTTAATGCAATATTTTATGGATTTAGAATAAATGCAGAAATAATCCAGGGTGAACGAAATGCCAAAATTTAAAGGCCAGATGTGATTCTGCACTGGTGCAAGCCCTCTCTTACTCTCCTGAGCCCTGGCTGCCAGAGCCTGTTTTTATTTAAAATATTGATATTTTATTCATCATGACTCCTTTGTATTAAAAATTGCATGAGACTATTATGTATCTTGATAACTGAGATTTTCAGCACTACCTCTTAAGTTGGTGCATGTGGCTTTGCTCACCCTAATCCTATCCCTGCTTCTACGTTTGCAAATTCAGCTCTAAGTCAAGATTTAGCAGATGGTGGGCCTCCCCTGGTGGCTCAGCATTTGAGTGCTGGGCTGCGAAGCTGCCTGCAGCCTCTGCAGCGCCGGTTCCATCCCCGGCTGCCGGGCGAGGGTCCCACATGGCGCACAGACCTCTCCTGCCATGCCCACTGCTCCCCTCAGCGGTGTACTTCATCAGTCTGCCTGTTCTGTTCCCCGCTCTGGCTCTGGTGAAGTCTCTCACCCTCCCATGCTTCTTATTGTACCCACTGCTTGTATAAATAAATAAATAAACAAACAAACAAACAAACAAATAAATAAATAAATCTTCAAAAATAAATTTAGCAGATGGGGGAAACTGAGGTGCTCCCCATGTAAAAGGGGCTCATAGTGCTTGTTTGCTCCCCTTGATTGGCTACTGTAGGTACAGAGACGTGCTAAATTGTTCCCAGGCCACCTCTGTGTCATCATAAAAATCCGAACTCTTCCAATGGCCCACCAGACTCTGCTTGACCCCTGCTCACCTCTCGATCTCCTAGGTTACCTCCCTGCCTCACTCTACTCCCACAGCTCTGGTGTCCTTTGGATTCTGCCTCAGGGCCTTTGTATGTGCTGACTCCCTGCCTGAGATTGACCTCTTCTCTGCCTTCCAGTGTCAGCTCAGATGTCACATCTCCTGAATCAAATGGGTCTCCCTAAATACACAGACCTCCCCTTGTCAGTTTTGTGATCCGTGTTCCTCTTCTTGGAAGCACTTATCTGAGAGGATGGGATTTAGTTCTTTGTGGGGGGTGCTCTCCCCCAGTGGGTTATGAGCAATGAGAGGGACCTGGTGTTTGTGTCAGTCAAACACCTGTGTGTCCAGTAGCCAGGAGAGAGGGCAGAATCAGGAATACAGTTGGTGCCTATTACATGCTGGGTGACTGAATGGTTGAACAAACAAGTGAAATAGCAATTGAGGGGCCTCCCTGGTGGTGCAAGAAGTTAAGTCTCAGCACTGTGAAGCTATCCGCAGCCTCTGCAGCACGAGTTTGATCCCCCAGCCAGCCAGGGAGCTACCCACATGGCGCAGCAGACCTCTCCTGCCTCACCCGCTGCTCCCCTCAGCAGTGCATTTCAGTCAATCCTCCTGTTCTGTTCCCCACTCTGTCTCTGGTGAATCTTCTCACCCCCAAGCCCCGCACCTCAGGCCTGTACCCCAGCTCTTGTATGATAAATAAATAAAAGAAATTTTTAAAAAATAGCAACTGAATGACTGTGTCTCTGTTTTTGACAGTGTGTTCCTGAAGCAGTCCTTATCTTTTTTCCTGCTGACCCACCTCTCACCACACTGGTCTAGGTGGGTGGGAGGAGGTTCTTCCTGCTCATTTCCCTCTAGGGCCTCCACCCCCTCCCCTCCCCTCCCCTCTCCCCTAAGTATTGCAAGGAAATCATCCAGGTTCACAGGAAGTCCAGGATGGGAAGCAACCTGTGCAGAGTGAATGGAAAAATGGAGGCTGGGGGACACCTTGGCCAAGTCACTCAGACACAGTTCTAGCAGAGCCCAGCTCCAAGTCCCAGACAGACTGTTCCTGACTCCCCTTCCCTCCTCCTGTCCCTGCAATTCACTTCCTACCCACCCCCCTCTACCTCTCTTCCCACCCCTCACCTTGTCCCTTCTACCCCCCATCCTTTACCCCATGCCTCACCCCACCCTTCACCTCCTTATCCCCTTCCCTCAGCTCCTCCTTCCTTATCTTCTTCCCTCATCCCCATCCCTATCCCCGTCCCTATCCCCATCCTTCATTTTCTCACCCCTCACCTCCATCCATCATCACCCCCATCCCTCACCCCATCTCTATCCCTCACCCCCACCTTTGCCTCCCAGTCCTTCCCCTCCCTCTTCCTCTGCAAGCAGCAAGCCCCACTCCAAATAAGGTGCACGGGTGGCTAATGCAGGACCCACTTTTTATTGCAGGAAGACTATAGAGCAAATGCTACACAGATCCCCAGAACAGGGGGGTGGGGGCACCCACATGCGAGGGGGGCTGTCAAGGAGCAGGGGCTGGATCATAGCAAGCATGGCCTGGCTCAGTCCCCAGAAACAAGGGTGCACAGGCAGGATGGCCAGCGCGGGGCAGGTACTAGCCCTCCTCCAGTGCAGAGCCCCTCTCTCCCTGGGGCGGGCAGGGTCTGAGGTGGAAGAGACCTAGAGGCAGGCAGGGCCCCAGGGAGATTGTGCTATCAGGGTTTGTCCCTGAGAAAGGGCTGCAGGTCCCTGCTCAGCCCCACCCTCTCCGGCACCTTCAGGGCCCAGGAACCACCCCTGGGGTGGGGGAGGGGGAACACCAGCTGCTGGTGGGTTCTGGACCCGCCAAGGGGAAGGGGGCTCAGCTGTGTTCAGACAGGATACTACTGGCTTTTATATGGGTGAGTCCATGCACTGGGTGGTGACACCCCACACTCACTCCCACTCTCTCATAGTTTGCCCAGTAAACATTTGTAGAGTGAACAGTCACAGGAACACAGAAAAACAAACACATTGCCAACAAGATGGACATAAACAGTCCCTCCTACCTGCAAATGACAAGACTCACACAGCATCTTTCTCTCAAGCACACACACCCAGAGTTTAGTCCCAGTGTGCAGGTGCACACATGTGCACACACACAGCTTCTTCACATGTGACGCTGGTTGTCACCAGGGAGAGGCCCACATGGCAAGGAGGTAAGTGTGCAGCAAAGACTTTAGTCTTGCTATTACAGGGAACCAACTATTGCCAATGACGAGATGCTCTTGGAAGTGGCTCCTTCCCTGATTGGGCCTTCAGATGAAACCTCAGCCCAACCAGCACTCACAGATGCTGCCTTGTGAGACCCTGAGTACCAGACTCAGCTCAACCACCTCCAGTTGCCTGACCCCAACACTCAGAACTGTGTGTTGTTTCAAGTTGCTGGGCAGCAATGGCCAACTGATAGTGATTAAGCTGAGAGTCGCCTTGCTACAGAGTCAAAGCAGCTTTGTGTCCTCAGTCAGAACAAGTGGCTTACATATGCTCTCCCATAAATCACTTCACTCACTCCCCAAAACACAGGCCCCTCTAGACACATACATGCAGGTGCAAAGGTTTACATCACACATCACAAATACAGTCCCTTGCATTTGTGTGTGTCCTAAGAATTGTGACACTGGGTGATTCTGTCATTGTGCAAACCGCACTGAGTGTAATGACACAAACGGAGATGGCACAGCCGACTGCACACCCAGTACGTGGTACAGCCTATTAGGATCATGGCAGATGCTGTCTGTCCTTGGCCCAAAACTTATTATGTCCACATGACCATATCTGATCCTGTTGGCAGCCCCACTACACACGACCCCATAACATTATAACACATTGACGAGGATGCCCGCCCATGACAATCACATACAGACACACACTTAGACACAAGCTATTTGCTCTTGCATACCACGTTGCACAAATGCACCTTACTGTGGTCACCCCCATCCCTTGCCTAACATCATTTTTATACTGTCCAACAGAGGTCCGGGGGTCCCATGAGTGCAGTTATCTGCACACCCTCACAGAAGCACTTGGAACCTCCCAGTGGCCAATACACTCCGACTCCAGGACACACGCTCTCGCAGATCCAGCTGGTGATCAGCTCAGCTGCCTGCCCCGAGATGGGGCCCAGTGAACCCCTGCCCCAGCACCCAGATTCTCCAGCCCAGGGGTCGGTGTCAAAGGCCCATGCCAATCTCTGTCTCAATGGAAGGGGCAGACCTCTAGGCTGGCTGTGTTTCAGAAGTCCCCCCATCTTTATGCTGGACAGCCCCCAGGTTGTGCTGTGGCCATTGGCCAGTCCCGGGCAAGGAGTGGGATTCCAGGCTGGCGGGGCACTGCTGCAGACCCTGTGGTTATTGCCTGGTGGCCTGAGGCCCATCCCGCAAGGACCCCCCCCCCAAGCTGTGGGGACAGGGCAATGGGGGTGGTCTGGGACCCAGGGTTGGGGGCACAGGCCAGAGGTCATGAGGAATAGAGGAGAGGGAGGCGTGTACGTTCAACATCACGCAGGAGAAGAGAAAAGCTGAGGTCCATGTGCATTTCACCCTCCCTCCCTGGCAAGGTCACAGTGATCCAATGAGGGGGTGCGCAGGTCTGGCTGAGGACATCCAGGGAACAGGGACACAGATGGGGGTCCTCAGGGACACAGGATGGGCAAAGCCCAGGGGACACAGCATCCTCCGGCCAGCCCGGGGCAGCAGCTGCTTCTCTCGCTGGCTCCTCATGTTCCCTTGTGCAGAACGAGGGGCCACTTCCAGCATTCGGCTTCGCGGGTCATGGACAAGAGGAGGGCGGGGGGAGAGGAAGGGGGGAGGAAGGGAGAGGCAGAGTGATGTGGCGGGGCCAGACCTTCTTCGGGCTTGCTGGGGACCCGTTCCCCCAGCAGAGAGGTTGGATAAGAGAAGAGAGGTGGGGAGATGAGGAGGGAAGGGGAGCAGGAGGAAGAGGGGGCAGGGCTGGCAGGAGGAAAAGGGGGAGGAGGGGGAGGAGGGGAGAGGGAGGGGGCGGAGGAGGGGAAGAGGAGAGGAGGGGAGGGAGGAGGAGAGGAGGGGAGGAGGGCAGGGGGAGGAGGGGGAGGAAGAAGAGAGGGAGGAGGGAGAGGAGGGGAGAGGGAAGAGGGGGAAGAGGGGAGGGGAGAGAGGAGGGGGAGGAGGGGGGAGGGAGGAAGAAGAGGGGAGGGGAGGAGGGGGGAGGACAGGGCAGGGCATCTGGGCGCAGCGTGGGGCGGGACAGCGGCCCGTCGGGTGGCGTCTGGGGCTCACATGAGGGTGCATTTGCCCTTGATGCGGTCTGTCCTCTTCTGCTTGCTGGAGCGCTTGCCGTCGATGTTGAGGCTCATGTTCCGGCGCGTCTCCAACGTGAGCAGCTCCTGGAAGAGCTCCTTGACGTTGTAGTTCATCTTGGCCGACGTCTCCATGAAGGCACACTTCCACTCCTGCGCCACGGCCTGGGCCTCGCGGGTGTCCACTTCCCGCTGGGTTTCGTCACACTTGTTGCCCACCAGCATGACCGGGATGTCCTCCACGCTGCCCTTGATCTGCACGATGAGCTTGTAGATGGGCCCCAGCTCCTCCAGGGACTGCTTGCTGGTGACAGAGAAGACCAGGATGAAGGCGTGGCCCTTGGAGATGGACAGCCGCTGCATGGCTGGGAACTGGTGGCTGCCCGTGGTGTCGGTGATCTGCAGTGTGCACACGCTCTTGTCACAACTGATCACCTGCCGGTAGGTGTCCTCAATGGTGGGGATGTAGGTGTCCCGGAAGGTGCCCTTCACGAAGCGCAGCACCAGCGAGCTCTTGCCCACACCACCTGCTCCGAACACCACCACTCGGTAGTCATTGCTCTGCTCAGGCATCTTCCAGGCGGGGGGTGAGGACCGGGGCTGGGATGGCTCGTGCCAGCTGCTACCACTCCAGACTGACCCTGTGCAGAGAGGACTGTCAGATGCGGAAGGCCACTGAACGGGGAGGGGACAGCTGCTGGCTTGGGGTCAGCAGGGGTGGCTTCTTGGAGGAGAAGGCCTGGGATGTGTCTTCCGGTTGATTTGGCTGACTTTGCAGTTTGCCCTGCATGCAGGCTCAAAGCTAGCACCTTTATTTGCTTCCTCCCTCCCCCAAAAAATCTGGAGCATACCTAGGGGAGATGCCAGGTCCTTCCCCCACCTGCATGCCCGCCCTCTAGCTGTCTGCCTCTCTTCCCAGCATGGCCATGAGCCCTGGGAGCCACCAACCCTGGCTCAGGGCTGCTTTGCCACATGGAGCCTCAGTCTTCTCTGCAAAATGAGTTAAAGGGTCCTGCTCCACCACTCCCAGTCTCCCTGATCTTCCTCCAGCCCAGAGGCCCCTAAACCTCGTGGAAGCTAGGTGCTGAAGGGCCTTCAAAATGAAGATTGCAGGGGGGGAGGTGGAAGGCAGGATCTTGGCCTGGAAGCTTGCATTTTCAAACCCTTCTCATCCCCAAACCCCATATTCATGACCTTGATACTGGAGGTCCAAGAACCACAATTGGCAAATCATGATGCTGCTTTCAAGTGGCATCTCAGCTGGAGGAAATGAAAACTGATCTTAAAGAAGAAAATCCTCACTCCCTAAATTCTGCACCCAATCCAGACCATATTCTGGACTTTGCTGTCCCCCTACCCACTGCCCCCCTCTATATTTATATTTCTATCTATCTATCTATCTATCTATCTATCTATCTATCTATCTATCTCCCCTCCTCTGTGCTCAGAGACGTCCAGTGGCTAGGGACAAGCATTCTTATTTAAAGAAAACAGGAGAGACCTCTTTCCTTCCTGCTTCAAAGTCATCTCTAAGGGTGCCCCCGGGATGAGAGGTATCTATGATGGGAAAAAGGAGACACAGGAAAGTTGCTCATCCCTCGGGCGTGTATGTGGGTATGTGTGCAACACCTGATGGTGAGAGCCTGGACAAGTAAACTGGTGCCCCCAAGTCTCCATTTTCTTATCTGTGAAATGTAAACAGAGCCCACTACTGTGGCCAGACAGAGCCCTCAGCCACGTGCCTGGCACAGGGGAGCCCTCGGTCAAGATGGGCAACCGTGACTAAGAACTTCAAGGACCCCGGGTGTGAAGCATCAGCAGCTAGTGTGCTGTGAAGGCATGTTCTGAAGAATCAAAGGTACCAGGTTGCCAGAAAAAGACCGTAAAAGTAGCAGCTGACACATTCCCCACAAATTATGTGCCAGGCAAACTTCTGGGAGCTTTAGCAGTACTGACTGATAGCTGACTCTCACGCTGGTGGGTGATACGCATAGCAATTCTCAGCATAGAGAGGAGGCTGGGTGAGGGGAGCTGGTGGGGGTGCTGGCCAACTCAATAGTCACCCGTTCTTTCCTGGGTGGGCACCCCAGGAGCTGGTGTGCTGGTGTGCAACCAGACACCACCATGATGGGCCTGGGGACTTGAGGTGCTGGAGATTCTGTCACCCCAGCCTCAGCCCTGGACATACCCTGGGTTAAGATGCCCTAAGCAATAGGGGTAATCTCCAGGAGGGGCCTCACTAGGGTCTGGGACCCGGAACCCCTGACTAGGAGTCCTTGTTCAATAATCCCCAAGTCCACAACAAGCACCCACCTGGCGCCCTTTGAATTCCACCTTCACCTACTGCCTGTGGTGGAAGAGGGGGTCACAACTCAGAGCCGAAGCTATGAGAGGGGGAGGCAGTGGCTCAAGGTCACAGAGCTTGGAAGTGGCAGAGCAGAGCAGGATTTGAACTTGACTTTGATTGGCTGCCCAGCTGGGGTTGGTCCCCCTGTGCAAGGCAGCCCACCCTCAGCCTCCGGGGCTCTGCAGACCTGCTCAGTCTGGTCCAGAGGGGCTCAGTGCAGAGAGGCCGCAGTGATCTGGGGAAAACAGGCCCCCACCCAGGGGAGGGCCTGGGGTGTTAGATGCTTAACCAAAGGAGGGGGTGGGTAGATCTGAGCTCAGGACCACCTGATTATGTGGGGTTTGAGGCGAGAGGGTCTGCTCTAGGGGGGCGAGGGAGGGAGGGCATTCTCAGGGAGGCAACCTCGGTTCCCCCCCCCGTGGCCAAAGGAGGCTCTAAATGGTGGGGGAGGGGCCTCTGAGTAAGGGGTTTGGCTTGGCCCAGGGGACAGACCCGCAGGCGGGTGCGCGATGGGGGTGTGGGGGGGCGAGGAGATAAGTTCGGGGCCTAATTGAGTCCTCATGGCGGGGGCTCCGCTTGAGGGGCAGCGACCGACCCCGAGGGAGGCGCTGAGCTGGGCTGGGGGAGGCAGCGCGGGCGCCCCGTAAACACCGGGGAGCCTCCCCCAGCGGGAAGGCCAAGATGGAGCTGTCCAAGGTGGGCGCGCGGCGGGCCCGAGGAGGGGCTCGGGCGGAGGCGCGGGCCCGGGAGGAGGGCGCGGCCGGCGGGCCGGGAGGGTGGGGCTCGGACAAAGGAGGGGCGCGGGACCAGGGCCCTCCCTGCGGGGCTCGGCGGGCGACGCTGCGGGGCCCGGTCCCCGCCGCCGCCGCCCCCCGCCCGGCCGCCTACCTGGGCGCTCGTCCTGCGGCGCCGCCGCGGCTGCTGCTGGCCGGCTCCGTGTCCGCTCGGGCGCCGCCGCCCCCCGCGCCCGCCGCCCGCCGCCCGAGCCGCCGCGCCCGCGCCCGTCCCCGCCCGTCCCCGCCCGTCCCCGCCCGCCGGGCGCCGCGCTCCGCCCCTCCCGGGGGACCCGCGCCCACCGCCAAGGTCACTGCCGCCCGGACCCGCGCGCCCGCCCCCCACTCCCGCCCGCGCCGCGGACGCCTGCAGCACCCCGCGCGGTGGGGCTGGGGGCGGCCCCCAGGGTCCCCGGCGAGCGGGGACATGCTGGGGTCACCGGGATTGAGCAAGAATCGGGGAGGGCCGAGGTGGGTGGGGGGAGCAGAGGGAGGGGAAGCCGGCTGAGCCTTAGGGACTGGGGGAGCAGAGGGGGCCCCCTGGGGCAGGTGGCCCGCGCAGGAGAGCGGGGAGAATGACCAGCCCCTAAAGGGACACTCGGCAGGCGGCGGTGGCCCTTGGGGTTTCAGGACAAGGAGAGCGCGTCTGGGGCCCCTCGCTGCCCATGGAGGGAGGGGAAAGCAGTGAAGACGCTGCCTCAGGGAGCCCCCCGGGAGGGTGACTGGCCCCCGGGGAGGGGGTGGGCGTGGGGTGGGGGTGTGGAGTTGAAGGCGGGAGGTGAAGGAAGCAGAACAAAGGCAGCTCAGGGGGGAAAGGTTTCTGGCTTCTGCTTGGAAAGTGTTTCTCTTCCCCAAATGAGCATCAAAGTCTGCCTTTGGCGGGCATGTGCGTGTTCGCCGTGTGTGAGCTCTGGGGTGCAGCAGCCAGACCAGCGGTGGGCATGAGACAGTCCAGACTCACCCCGTGACTTTCAGGGTCACCACCCTGACTTTCCTTCCCGGCCCCCTGGAGACGTAGCCACTGGCCCCCAAAGACCACCTGGCTCTCCCCGAGGCTAGATGGCCAATATTCACCCTGCTTTGTGGCTTGGAGGGTTAGACTTCTCCCTGCTTCATGCCCTCCCTGCCTCCCAGGCGTCTCCTGCCTGGACCACCCCACCTGCCTCCTTCTGGCCTCCCAGGATTGTCCCTCCAAACCCCCCTCCAACTCTGGCATTCACTGTTCGGCCTCCAACGGGGGCCTCCCCTGCTCTACCACCACCCACGGCACCCTTCTCTGGGTAAAGGTCTAGCTCCTCAGCCTGGTGCCCAAGTCCCCCTGAGACCCCACCCAAGCCCCCTCCTATGTCTTTCCTGGGCACATCTCCCTCCAGCCAATCCTTGGCCTGAGGGGTGCAGGGCACCTCAGGGAGCAGCCTGATTCCTATCCCTCATCGCAGGGCATTCGCACCAGAGATGGAGAGGGCCCTGGGCCATCGTGCAGGCGATCCCAGGCAAGCACTCCTCTGAGCCTCAGTTTCCCACATATGAATGAGGACTGGTGCTCTGTTGCCTCGGGGCTGCTGGAAGCAACTGGGCAGGGCAGCTACCTACACACAGGCGCTCAGAGACAGCAGCCTGATCCCCAGGCTCCGACTCTGCCTGCTTCCGTCTCCAGAGTGACCAGCCGGCACTGGGCTGGCTCTCTGGCTGGCTCTCCGGGCACCAGCCCAGGCCGGGCAGGCTGACTCATGCGTAGCAGCGTGGGCACAATGGTTCCACTCTGCGGCTGCTATTTATAGATCTCAGGCCAGGCTTTTGGCCTCCTGAGCCAGAGGAGGGCAGGCCCCAGAGTCCCCTCCTCTCTTCCCAGCACCCCCACCTGGAGCAGCCCAAACTAAGACAACAGTACCTCCTTCCCCATGGGTGTCAAGAGCGAGCCCTAGCCTCTGTGAGAGGGGTCAGGTATGTGCTGGGAACCACCAGCTCTGCTCACTTCAGAGGCTCAGAGAAGGCGATGGGTGCCCGGGGTGGCCCAGCAGGGAAGAGGCCAGATCGGAGCTGAAACTAGGGTCTGTTGGCTTTTTGCTGGCCCTGGCCATTAGCCCAGGGACACACCTAGCTTTCAGTTGCTCCCCCCCGCCCCCCATCTTGCAGAGATCCTCTCCCTGCCAGGTGTAGCTGTCCACCTGCAAAGTTCCAGCTCCTGCCTGACCTTGCACCCTGAGATGCGTCTTCCTGCCCCAATGCTCGGGCCCAGAGCAGCAGCTGTGCAGGGAGGAAGGCAGCAATCTTGCTCCCAGGATTGGTGAAATTATGCAGATGAAGCAGAGCTGAGAGCAACGCCTCTCACAGATTCAGTTTGACCTACAAATGTTTTTTATTGGTTGGTTTTCAAGTTTGGTGTCAACACTTTATGAGATCATTTGTTACAAACCAGTTTTCAGAAACAAACTGGCTGCCGACACCAGGCCTGGCTTCTGCGGGCTGACTGGAGGCACGTGTCTGTCCCTGGAGGCAGCCTGGGGTTGCTGCTGAAATGAGGGGATGTGTTAT